CAAAATTTAGTCTAAACTGCCATTAAACATCGAAGTATTGAAGCAGTTGTGCTTACCGAAACACATTATACACATGAAAGTCAATCATAGAGCGGAAAACGTACGTAAACTTGGTTTTGTTTACAAGACTGTGCATCAACTACCGAAACGACGATGATAATCGATCATCTACTTCAGCTAACTCATTAACGATCAGAATGCTAACTGTCTATGTTTAAAAATCTTTTCAACTATAGTTTTTATAAATTATTGTAGTCTGCAGTACAATATAATAGGAACACGTAAAAAGATCATTTTATAATGATAGTAGGAATGTTTAAACGATATAAATTGTTACAGTAACACTATAATAAGTTTATATACAAATATTGTATTTTAAGTCTTATAGCTATGATAACAAATGGTTCATTAGAATGTAACATAGTATACACAATAAACATGTAAATAATATAGTATAGCATACAATATACTGAACATATTATTATAATATATTGTGTATGGAACCGTTCTTGAAGACAAGTCTGTTTCAGATAAAATGTTGTTTTTTGAAATTAAAAAAAATACTTGTTATTGAATTCATCCAAATAACATAATATATACATAAACGCCTACCCCGAATAAAAAATGAACTTATTTCTGATCAACGGCTGGTGAACATACGTATAATACGACTTGTCCCACCTAATAACGATCATTGTCATATAGAATTATAGAATACACATTATTGTTCACGTCAAATTTAAAGAAAATAATGATAACAAATAACAATATCTGTTATAACATCGTCGTTGTTATTACAGCGATGGGTGCATTTTACAAGACCAATGCTTTGGTTGATTGTCGGTGGTTTATTAGGACGATCGTCGCCCAACTTGGCCCACCTGCATTCCAGGTACACACACTGCATACAGACAACTCCATCGTCCGCCGCAGACCACCTGCAACTACACCCTTCCACCCCACTCTTGCGAACCAATCGAGTCGCCCACTGTAGCTATATCTATAGGTAAGACATATAGGTATACCCTATACGAATATAAATAATATATGTGATTATATCTCTACGCATACTACCCGGCCGGGCCGCAAATTACACGAATATCCGTTACTATCACGGCAAGGAGAGGTTGTTCTTGGTCTAGACTGGTGCAGGACCCTCGTATTCCAGCGCGCATAAATGTATATACCTGTAGCTACTTGTATACTGCGTATATGAAGTAAGAACTAACATATACCTATAATAATACGGACAGCCTTCCTCCGAGTAGAAAAACGTCGCAATATTATAAGTCTGAGTACAATATAGAGATGGATTATTGGGAAGCCAATCATGGTTAACAACAACCTACTTTTTGTTAAGTTTTTATAAAAAAAAAAAAATCAAAACTGCGTTTTTATATTATTTACAGGAAATTTAGTGTAATTTATTAATTGAAAAGTCTAAAATGTGTTTATTTAGAATAGCAGAAATATTTTATATTTTTTACAAGTTTTTGACATTTTGCATTATGTAATGTAGGTACCTAATATTATATCTACTAATTGTTAGAAGAGTTTAAAAATTTAGAAATTTTTTGGTAAGTTTTATTTGTAGATCGCAAGCCCGTTCACAAATAAATAAATAATATAATGTATCAGTTAATGTAAAGTACTTAAAACTTTTAAGCACACTGAAGCCTACAGTTTAAAATAACGTTCTCGAACCGTATAATATTAATATAGGGTTGTTATAACGATTTTTTAAAAGCTAACATTCCGAGAAAGAAAATACTAAACATAAATGTCTAATGGGGATGGAATAATTGAAGTAATATTTTTTTTTGCATGCGCTCTTTTTTTGAATTCCGTGCTATCTATACTTCCAACGCACGGTGTAAAATATAAACACGAAATGTGCCGGGAAAAAAAACTTGGGGTCGGATATTCCTCCCCATTCCCAGTTTGTCCTTCCCAGAGAAAAACTTGCGGGACAGGACGAACGAAAATCAAAAATCAATCAAAGTGTTATTTCTCCCCTTGCATTGCGGTTTCGTCTCATTTAATTCGAGATCATTGAGAGGCCGTAAAAAAAAAAAATAAAAAAAAAAAATAAAAACTAAGTATAGTAAATGAAAACATATAAGCTTATGCCGTCAAATGAGCCTGAACGTATATTAGTGGGTAATATACATTATTATATTATATTTTATATTATAGCCGAGCTGAGTACAGTCAGGTTGATCACGCTAATCCAAATGATAACAACAGGTCGTGGGAGACGCCCAAGTGCGGGAAAATATGTTTTTTTTTTTTTAAATTGTACCAAGGCATACTAGCTATGACGTCGGTGTTCAGTTAACGATAATAAAATACAAACATTTTTTCAGACAGGAAAAACATCAATAACGTACTCAACGCAGTATACAACGGTATGCAGTTCTCACTTCTTCTCAGTTACATTGATATTTATTTTATACACTAAGCACATAATTATAGATACCTACTAAAGTAGTTATTCATAGGTACCTATTTTCTTTTCTGTGCACAAATATTGTAATTAGTTCAATATTATTGATTTTTCTCCAAATAACGCGATGATAATAATATATTTAGGTTCTTATTCACTAATTTTGAAAATCAAGAAGTAAATATATAATAATACATCTTCCGTTACAATCTAAATAAATTGTTGCGCAATATATTTAAATATTTCAAAGTTGAGAATTGAAAAAACTGCGAAATAAATAACATTTTTAGCCGGAAAAAATATCGATAATGTATTTTAACGCAATACAACATATCGTTCACAGTGAATTTTCTCAGTTACATTGATATTAATACATCAAGCATATCATTATGCCTAACTTGATCTAGGTACTTATTTTAATTTCTGTACACAAATATAATAATTAGTTAGTTTTTGCGTGTTATTATAGATTTTTCCGAAGATTGTAATTTGTTTATGAAAATATATTTATAAATATGGGTATTTACAAATCGGGAAGTAAATAAATGATCATACATAATATTGTTACATAATCAAAATAATTTGCTTTCATAGGTAATTCATGTAAATATTTCAAATTTGAGTGATTGAACCGCGAAATTGGATGGTAGCAAAAGGTTTCAAATCAGTTCACAGGGGATGACTTTACTATTTATTATAACATAAAAAAGGGTTAGGTACCTACCTTCTGATAACGATGTGTGTCAGTCGCATCTATATTAGGTATTCAATGTGAAAGTAATTCGTTATTCTTAATATCGTAATTGAAAATATTTTTTTAAATGTAAATACAAATTTTGAAAATAAGTATCACACATGATTTATAAAAAGCTATTATGAACTAATGTAAACGGGTTTACTTTTTTACAATGTTTGTATTATTTGTAAGTTGTTTTTTAAATGATTTTTGACTATTATGTGATTATTCAACAACGGAGTAATGAATGATTAACATAATATTATACCTACTTTTTTGAAAACTGGTAACATATAGGACATAATCGAAGGCAATTACCTCCGTTCTGATCCTTGAATTGCCTTCTGCGATTTTTGGTCTTCAAAATGTGACTACATAATATCAAAACTATAATTTACTCAAAATGCTTCCCACATTAAGTAGTTGACCTTTAAGTACACAAGTTGCCTCAGATAAATATAATAAATTTGTAGCTAGAATATTAATTCACAAGCAATAATTTCATAAGCGTAGAAAAATTGTTACTTAAATATATTTCAATTAATTAAATTGTTAATCATTTTTGTTATACTATTTTGAAAACCAAACTTAAACTCGTTCCAAGTCAAAATTATTTCCTTTCTTTTGATAGTAATATTTATTTTATAATTGTACAACATTATTATTGTTGATAACGCAACGAATGTTCAAATGTAATTGATTATGCTGGGCTAAGAAAATAAAAAAAAAGTTACAATTTTCTTACGTCCTTACCTATTACAAAAAATACGAAAGTCAATAAAGTAAAATAAATGATAATATGATAAAATAAATACATCAATGTATTTGGTATATGATATGAGAGAAATTAAATTAATAAAATGGTCACCTAGATACTTATAGATTTGGGAGACAGTTCATCGCTATTCCAAATGTAGGACGTAACTATTTATTATGTCCTAATACAGTTCAAGTCAATTAAAATTATGAAATAAATTAAATGTTCTGATTACATTTTTACGGTATATTTCGTTTAGAAGTTTTTAAACTAATTAGCAACACTTAATTCTATTTTAGTATACACTATACAGTGACCAATATTTTCATATCTTACTGATCAGTTTTTACATAAATATATGACTTTGTATAAATACGAGTAAGGTCAACGCCAATACAGGACAAAAATAATAATTAGTTACTTATATGATCAAAACGGGTTATATTTGTTTTAAGTTTTAACTGCATTCACAAAAACACATAAATGCCATTTCAAATTATATTAAAAATGTAAATTTGGAATTAAATTAGTAGTACGATTAGCTAATTTTATCTAGTTTATCATAATTGCAATATTCTAAACTTTTTGTAGGAATTAACATTTTAAGTCTGTTAATCTTTGTTATATGTAAGTATGTAAGTATACGCAATTATACTATATGCATAATTAAATATCTACAGGGGAATAATTGAACAGTACTGAAAATGATAAAACTACCGAATAAGAGCATCTATACATAATATATGTATTAATGAATAAATGAACTATGATTGAATAGTTTTTGAGCCCATGCGGTTAAATAGTAGGTAATATTCAAACGCAATCAATCATTAGATGATATACATTATTGATTAATAACTGCACATTTTAATATAATTTCACATCACTAAGGTATTCATCAATTCTAAAGTTCCGATGAAATTATTAAAACCATAAATTTCGATTATTTTGCATAAATATTATAAACGATACTATCTAGGCTAAAACAATCCTTATAGGTATTATATATTCGTTCTCGAGCGCTGTACTATTAATAGATAGTATACACAACAATAACTTACCGATGGGCACATTTTGCAAGTATATTTTCGGMCGCCACCATTTTGATGTGTGACCACGTGATGTGCATCCGTGATTTTAGCTGCATTTATCGGATGTGGTACGATTAACATGGGCGTTGCTGAGTTACCAGTGGGTGAAATGCTGCTAGCCGTACTTGCCGTACTATGCGACCTCGGCGTACCACCCCCGTGCTGCTGGTACATACCGGAACCATCTTCCATACCACCTGCAAATCGAATTTCGATGACCATCGTGAATTTCAAACATATTTATTGCCAAACTATTTCAACATTATAATATTATGACATGATATGCATGTAATAATGATATAAATATAATATTATAATATTATAAAACTGTCACGGTCGTGGTGAAAACTAATAGTATCCTTGGCAATTAAAATTAATTCCCTAGAATGTTGTATTTCCTCCGTCTATTTGTGTTGCAGACAAAAGAATGATCAAGCTTGAAATTCAATTTTTTTTTTAAATTGACAAAAATAATTCTACTCTGTCTTTGTCGCTATACCATATTTGAGCTAATAATTGAGTCCAATACACTGACTCAGCGTTTTAAGCCATACGATAGCAAACATTTTATAGATTTCTCTGATAAAAAACAAACATTTTATGTGATTTCTAACATATTTTCAAACCGCAAATATAATTTAACCAAACTGAGTTATCGTTTATAGATAGGACATTAAGTTATTGATTTATTATTTTAAATACATAAATATGATAGTTATATATTGTGCGACTTTTTTAAATTTTGTATACTCATTCAGGTAGGTAGGTACTTTTATATATATATATTCTTGAAAATATTTATTTTATTTTATTCCTAAGATCTTATACTACTTTTAAATGTTCCCAAAATTGCATCTTTGGTAATATTGTGCGTTTGGCAAGAGCCATTTTGCTAGTGCCTAGCTATAGCCACAAAAGCTCTAAAACCTGATTTTATCCGGAAACAAATATAAAGTAGGTACTAAGTACGAAACTTTACAGATGTATGATATAAAAATTTTATTCATAAATTAATGGTTGCAGAAGAAGAGTAGTATTGTTCAGAGCCTTTTCTGCTGTCGATTAAACATGAGAAAAAAAGTGTATTATATCGGTTTTGGTGTTGGCAGTCAAATCGGCATTGGTATACTTTGCTTGACCTTATTCGATTGGTAGGGCAATTAGCCTGGTAGATATTTTTGAACATAGTTCAAACTAATCTTTACGAATTTTTAATACATCATAATGAAGATAGATAAAAAAATATTTAAAATTATCCAAGTTTATATGGGAATATTCGCAAAATTAAAAGTAATTCATTTAATTACTAAATAGGTATATCATGAAAATCAAATGGGTTGCAAACACACTAATCAACTCTTTTTTTTATGAAAATAAATGATTATTTCAATTCAAAACAGGTTTTGATCAAATTTTTTGATTTATATATTTTGAATTAGTGAAACACCGAAAGGAAATTCTACGTCGTTTGTATTACTGCGTGTAGTATTGTTGGTAGGTATTTAAAGACTTCAAATAGTTGAATACATTCGTATACAAATCTAGATGATACCTACCTACTCAAGTATTTTGAACAATAGAAATATATTATGGTATATATTAGGTATGGAATAATAAATATTACATATCAGTTGCATGAGCTTATACAATTTATTGAATAATTTATGGTAAACGAATTGTTTTGTGAAAAAAAATCGTAAGTTATGTAAAGAATTTTTATATTTTCAACTAAAATTAACATTTTTCTGTATAATTTTGATAAATTATAACAGATTTTATGTGTAGGTATCAATGTATCATCCCTATGGGTCAAAATGTAAGGAAAATTCGGCGTCTCAAAGGGCTTTAGCGGTGTCATTATTCTTGGAAAACAAGTATAATATAATACGTTGGTATCGATTTAAAACCTGTTCTGAATTTGTCGTAACCATAAAACAATATTAATTTTGGTATATTAATGTTATCGTTACATAATAGCTACTTAATAATATTATTGTATTCTCAAAGTAAACTCTTTTTGATTATACAGAAAATTAAACACATGTATTACATTCTCAAGAGCTGTATCCTTAAAACAACATCGCATTTTTTTGGTCGAAAATAATTTAAAAGTATTTTGCAATCGCTACTATTTTAAAGTTATTGAATTGAAGGAATATGATATGCATATATTTAATTAATATTCGCAAAATAATAATAATAATATACCTAATAATATAGGTATAATAATATATGAAATAGACAATCAAATTAAGTGTTTTTAAACTGGTTTCGTTAAACTAAATAAATAATATTGCAAAAGGTCTCGATAAACACGTTTTTTCCCCATGTAAATCCGATCGAGTTTGCTATAGTATATTATGAATATATATATATGAAAGTATCTCAAGAGTTTGTTAGCATATATTGGCCATAAGATGTTGGGGTACGTAAACTTTCACACCTCGATGTCCTTTCGTGAAAAAATATACAGTTATACATATTATATACATATATGCGTAAGTACCTTCTTTATTATGTAAACACCTGCATATTGTGTGTAAAGATTTTCATATTATTTATATTTCGGATCCTTCATCCAACCTCAACACCCCAAATCAACCCCTCTCTCCCCTAAATCATTAAAACCAGAAAATTTGATTTAAACTACCGAATTTAATTTAATTTTTTTTTTAAATCTCATCTCATGTAAATTTTAATATCATCTGCAATTATTGCAAAATGATTGTTAAGAAATTAACATTTTTATATTTTAAAAATTAAATATAACGGAAGCAATTTAAAAGCATGATCAAATATATTGTGTTTTCTACTTATTAGAAACGCGCATAACGAATTTACGATGACGTGTCAAACTGCACTCTATACGTATATGGACCAACATTTTTGGCTTGTACTCGGGTTAAAAACAAGCAGTAATTGTAGTTCGAATTTAACACGATTAGATCATTTCATAGAACTTGTACAAATTAATTTTAGCTTAAAATATTATATGTGCCTATATGTGCCAATCTATTTAGTATGCATGTATCTATTACAATATATTATTATAACACAACATAACTTATATAAAAATATCTAAACGTAAATAAATATTTTAATATCATTATTATTTTTAAGTTATAACTAAATAAAAATGTACTTATTATTCTCCGACCATCAGTTGATATTCATTAGGTTATTATGTCATGTCTTATGTATACTGATTAGAACGAGTGTAATTCGAATATTACTTTTTTCTGTCCCCAAAGCAATTCTACAAAAGTACCTAAGTGCAATTCGACCAAACCCATAAAGGCAATGATACTCTTGGCTTACACACGTATGTGACCCATCATACGTTTCAGGTACCTACAATTATTTATTATTATAAAAAAGTAATTACATATTTTGGTAGCGTAAGTCTTTAACCAACAGCCACTCCACTTTATAGGTTGCAGAAACGCGGAAAACGACCCTGACTCACTAATCTCTAACTTTCCTACCCGGGTCTCGAGCGGATTCACGTTAACTTCATATTTAACATATATGTGTAGGGACACATTATGATATCGGTAGAGTATATTATAATTGTATGTATTATAACTGTAACAGAGACAGCAGCTGGTCCGAAGACTTGACAGACGACGTTCCGGGTACTTATCTGAGGAATGGTCACTGCAGTGGAGGGTGTAATGAATCGTGTAGCTATGTACTAGCTATGTCAGACTACTTGGAAAGGTATTCAAGGTGAGCATCAGTACCTATATATAGTATGTATGTATGTATATATGTATGTAATATGCACATGACGTATATTATAGACAGCCTCGCCTTGTCAACTCGGACACGTACTCTGCGACCATCGTTATGGACTGTCAACTATGATTACGACCCTGCGTGTCGTATCCATGGCAACAAATATCGATATCTTTGGAGAGGGGAAAAACGTTAATTATTATGCGTATTGGAATAAATTGCTGCGTATTCTATGCCCAAAAGCTATCTGCAGGACTCACGAAGGAACAAACAAATCATTCCGTTCGATAATGGTTCTGCTTGACGGTCAGTTTGCCACATTTGTTAAATAAGAGTATACCTATGTCATCGCAGGGGAGGTTTTGATAAAAGCATTACATTACGCGAATGCCATTCAATAACATTGTACATTTATCAACGAGCACTACAGCATCACTACTATAATCATACCTGGTCTACGTAAATGCATATATTATAATATATAACGTAGGTATAATATATTATCAAATATTGTGCAAATATATTCTTCCTAATTGCCGATACGTGGTAATATAAACTATATATTGAATATAAAATCAGTGATTGCAACTATTTTCCAATGAATACATATTGTGATTCTTACCTTTTGAAAGTTGTTGAATATGATCGTTGTTATTCATTTTCACCTAAAACATAAAAAAAATATATATAAATATATTAGTTTGTATTTTGTATAAATGTATAATATATTCAAAGGTTGCTTTTTGATTTTTGTCATTAGACTATAATAAATACATAAAAGACTTGTGAGTAATGAACTTAAGTAGTTTTGGGAAAATAAACACGCATTTGGTAACCATATAACTAATATAGGTACACATTTTTATTTATATAAAATACAAAGAACCATTATAGAAAACACTGCAGAGGTAAACAATGCATAGAAGTCTTATAATTATAACYATCTATATCAGATTTAAAATGGTCTTAAAAATGTACCCTTTTYGTTATTATTTCATGTGTATCGTTCGTAGGTATATTATAAATTCAAGATACCATGTCCAAATCATCATTACTATACATAGGTTGTTAATATAGTATCTATACAATAATATTTTGATACTCTGCTCCGGCGCCCAAAAAGAATCGAGTCATCAATAAGATATAAGACTTAGACATAATAAACCAGTTTAATACGGACGCCTAAAACTGGATATACCTATAATATATTAATATATTATATCCATATTATACATACTGATATAAGCAACATAATATAGTGTTTATAATAGCTATCTAAAGTAAATACGTGTAGAAATCATAAGGACCTATAGTAATAGTAGTACTAATATTTGGTAGTACTATACTATAGGTAATAAAAGTGGTAGTGGTAATGCTAACAGCGTGGTAAGTGGTAGTAGTATAGAAATACAGTAGTGGTAGTAGTATAGTGGTTGCAGTGAGTTATATTGGCAACCACGTTTGGAAAATTTTTTTTAGAATTTTACCTCATAGCCTTGTTTCATGGCTGTCTGTCTAGTCCAACTATAGTCCACTTCTTTTCCATGTCCTCCGCATTGCTGTAAACACACAAACAAAACCGACCAATCAGAATAATACAAAATAATATGTGTAAATCCGGACCTGCCGGAGTGCACAGCTTATGTAAGTCGAAAGTGCATAATAATAAACTCAATTATAATTGAGTAATGTATTTTTATTAAGATAAATTTACATTATACTATTGATAATATAAATTAATAAACATTATTTATACTGAATCTTAAGTGCGATGAATAAAGTACGATTGCATTTAWACATACGCTGCAATATAGGTAAGTGGGTACTTAAATATTATACTATGATCTCTGCAACTACAAATTTATCATACGATTATTGATAAATTAGTTTTCATTAGTTTATCTTTTTCCTTTTTAATGATGATAAATATTTAATGTGAATTCGATCGATGCGACTACGGCGATAGCAGGGGAACTCCTATACATATGCGTTGGACCATTTCTGTATTATTAATAAGTCTGACGAGTACTGGATCATACACCTACATAATCTACTGAATATCACAATAATAATRATTGAAATKTGTACATTTTAAAATAGRATTCGATGAATAGGTCCAAAACGTATTGTTTTTAGATCTGTTTCGTCAGCTGCATATTTTATGGACTTATCATATATTTTACTATTCTTACAGTTTACTTGAAATCCGTTTAATTATAGAACGATCGTTTATTAGGCCCTTCTACCTATGTAGGAACGATTGGCTATCGTACAGCAATGGCATTAGTTCTTATAGCTTTATGCRTTTTCCTGATGACATAAGCGGTATATGGATGACGTTTTTATTGATATATATTCATCTAAATAGCGCATATAATACGTACTTAATATAGCCTATTTATTATAACTACACGAAGGTAGATATTTATGCGTTTTTCGTTTACATCTGTACTTATCGTATAACGGAAGAAATTGGGTTATCGTTGTCCATTTTTTTAAATGTCTTATAAAATAAACAATTTATACGACGACGATGATAATAATAATACGTTCGATTAACTTTAAAAAAGCACCGTTATTATTTGTTTCACAATCTTCAATTCATCTGGATGTAAACATGTTTTATTATGTTTTCCTTTTCGGCGTTTTTATTGTTTGGCAAAACTTTACAGACGCAATTCTCCACCCCTCCGATCCCGCCCTGTAGGCCACCGACACAGCGGCGGACGACTGTCTCGGGTACCCGAATTCTCAGTCGATTTATTATCCGGTCCTCGTTTGAAACCACTATTATTATTATACACCGAGTAGGTATATAATATACAACTCGATATAACGGTCATCTACCCAGACGGTTTGAGAAACAATCGAATTCGAATAAACCGCCTCGCGAATGCAYAGCATTGTGGTGAAATTTTGAGAATAATCAATGACATATACGTATATAGGTAGTACTACACACGGAGGGTATCGTAATTTTTACTCGTTTATAGTCACTGCGTTTTTTGTTGATTTCAAAACTAAAAATGATGATTATGTGTTGTACTTCGCCAGATATATTTTTGCGGTGCAGATAAACTACAGTTTACATAGGTACCGAATTAGWGTGAATTATACCTTTACCATAATATAAATAATTATCGTATTTTTTGGTGTTCCTTGAATTTACCTTTATTTCAGACAACATATTTTCAATCGTATATTATGTTACATCAAATAACTTCAAAACGTCATCGATATTTCATTATCTATATATGCACATTTATGGCCATTGAGTGCTCTGAAACTACTAACGCAGAGACTATAGAGGCTCAAGTACAATGCTTTGTGCATTTTACACGTCAAATAAAACTGATCTTGTCGCTATACACCGGCCCGTGAAACCTAAACGTATATAGAATCCACAAAGTATTACAGGTACGTGGATACCCTTTAATTTTATTATGTGTACGCATATTATTTTAAATTGTTTACGTAAATTGTTCGTCTCTTTGCAGGTGTACCTTAGTACCTACATATCTATGGTTATAAGACCTGTCTACCTACCCCGTTAGATGAATGTTAAGATATGATATCGTCACAAATTATCAAAAAAGAGACTCCGAGTTTGGGGTTTTTTTTTTGTACGCAATTAGGTGACTATATATGTATATATATACAATATATAAACTCTTTAGGTACATCTATTGTGCCTATCGTATGATTACACTCAACGCCCGTCGACTGTAATTGTATAGGTCCAAGTGAATAATATTTTATGCTCTGCTGCAGCTCAGTAACGTAGACTTTTACTTAGATTTTGAGCGGAGCGAGGAATGTATTTTCAATTTGTCGACGTTTGGGAGACCGATAACCCGATCGCGTGMCTGTATAACCCTGCAGAGTTCCTAATACACAAACGACGTGTTGACGTAAAAGCTTACAGGTGATAACTTCATAAGTTTCTAGCGACCATTTAATTGCGTATCACGTCAGTCGCATATTTTCATAATATCAAACATTTTGTAACAGTTACCACGCCAGTTAGTAGATAATACAATTTATTTAYCAATTCAATTTGAAAACATAAACATTTGAAAAACATTACATGTACAGTAACACTTTATAAACTACTTAAATAGTTAGTAACAATAATATCATATTATAGTATAAAAATATGATTTATTCAAAAATAAAAATATTTAAAGCTATTATTATACTATACAAATAATAGCCTAAAGATGCCGTTCAGCGTGAGTTTAGTTTAAAACTAATTGTGTTTTCGCTTTTGCACTTCTTCATAATGACTAATGAGTTTGCCGTAAGTGTTGATAAAAAAAGTACACTACTATTTTTCTATAAAAAAAATCTTACCTAAAAAAATCTCCATCATGCATGCACTATTGTAATTGGTTCGCATATCACGACCTCTGGTTTACCCTATTAAATATCAATATTTTGTAGCTCAAATTGCACTAACAAACTGCAGTCATCATGATTGAGTTATACGTATATTTAGATAGCTTAAGTAATCATATATTGCCTATAAGTACCTTGAATTTTAATCTTGTGCCTACACCTCTTACTACCGGAGACATTTTGTAATGTCACTCAAAACTAACAACGTTTAGATATTATTGTTACGCTGTCGCTGATAGCGAGAAAACGTCCACTCGCGACTTGTGCTCGGAAGTTCGACATTGTTATCGTCGACGTGCGGTAAAATAGGCCTAGGGTAGACGGCAAACGTGGTATAAAAACGTTTCGTAAGGCTTCATTTTCTGATATATTTATATACTAAATATAGTTCTAGTACATATAGGTAAACAGCCTGTTTACTTTCGGGGGCTGTTCTCGGCTTACCCCTTGCTTGCCGCTGCCGAAAATTGTTGTATTAATAAAATAAAACGCGTAATGAACCGTAACTACGTGATTTGAATAAAAATCCCACCGAGGCGTGTACGAATCACGGCGAAGATTAATGTTTTTCGTCAGTCGTAAAATGGAAAATATGATAAATGATAGGAGCCACAAGGTGTTCAATCTYGAATATATATACAGAAATARGTACCTGTATAAAGCGTATACCTTGACAAATCCGCGTTGTTCCGGATCGCGTCAGAATGTTAAATAGGTCTTGGGAACAAAAATCAAAACCAGATCTATAGTGAAAAGGGTGAGACGCGCGTAAGCAGCTAATGCGATGCATTAGGTACAGAGGTACGTACACACTGCAGCACAGACATTATAATATTATAATGTTATATGACGTTTTACCAACCACACTTAACGCTAAACGCCATTAGGACAATTTAACTGATAAAACATTATCATATACTTATCACACCACTTAGTAAAACAAATTATTGTTTTTCAAGTATGCCACCTATATTTAAATATTTGAATAAAAAATTCGACCTAARCCACAGTATTCTTTGTTGAACTATAGTGGAAATACGTAAATTGTACTTAAATATATTATTACATCTTGCTATGTAAATTTGTACCGATGAACATTGTATATATGCATACAAATCACCCAAAAAATAAACGTTAATAGTCAATTTATTATTATTATTAACTTCAGCAATAAACTCGATTGACAATTTTCTTTTAAAGATTTTATTGGTGTAAAAGACAATTTTGTTATAATTTTATTGSGTTACCGGTGTTAAAAGAGTTATAATAACAGAGAATTTTTTTAGTAAGCTGTAATACATGTTTATACGTTAAATAATTAAATAAWTTACTGTGACATTATTATACATAGGCGGCACTTGGTAGAAACTTATGTGGGTGCAAACGTTTATGGAATAACATTCGCAAATCCATAGGGAAGTTGCCCCCCAGTACTCCCTAATATATAACTATTGCTACAACAAATGTAGTTAAAAAAATTTCTTTATTAACAACTATTAATTGGGTCTCTGTATTTCAAATATGTACATGAATATGTAAAAATATATTTTATTAAAAAACAACTTTTTATTTTGTAAATA